CATTTTAGAAAACATTATTAGCAACTGTCGTGTCCATCAAAACACCATTTGATACAGGGACCTCCGTGGTAACCGCGCTGGTTTCTTAACAACGCCTTAATTATTTCTAAAGTCAGGCGGTCCTGCTTAAGGTGCTGTAAACAGTGTAGTGATGTTCGGATTTTATGTTACAAGTCGGATCAAACCTCGTGTGATGTCAACCTTTTTTTCTAATCAAGGCGGCTTAATTGAGCTGTCAGAATTTTTTATCGGGCTTTTTACGTTTCCGAATTCTTTCATCACAAATTTTGCGACTACTCGTGTGTTAATCTAACATTTCACATCAGATAATGTTAGCAAAAACCCTAATAAAATACTTGTTTTTTTCCCCCCTAAATCAAATGATTTTGGTGCAAATTACTTTATGTTATTTTGATAAAATTTAGTAATATTCAAATATGTATGAGTAAAGAAAATATGGCTATTCAATAAGTAATCAATTCCTTCTGGTATTTCATAATTAACTTGTCCGAAACTATATCTTGTCAGACTTGTATGCCTTTGCTTTTTATTTTGGTGACGATGTGCTTCATTTATATCTCAGTGTGCAAATTAACATAACAGTAATAGTCTGGTGCATTAAAAGAACATTATTTTATTTTGATAAAATTCGGTTATATTCAAATGTGCATGACGTAAAGCATATATTGCTTTCCAAGATGTAAGCCATTTTCTGCAGATATTTACAATTATTAACTGATATTTCAATTGTGATGGTTCAATAACACTTTTATTGTCTTAAGCAACGACACCAATGAAGAGATAAAAATACAATATAAAAGAAATTCAATATAAAAGGACGTGTACCAAAATAAAAAAAGATATTGCAAGAAGGAATTAAGCTTTGTCCGTATTGTAAAGGCGTGACAATATTAAGAAATGATGTTCTTATATCTGTTAGAGATTGTCAGTTAAAAGTTGTGCTTGTATTCTTGAAGATGCTTAGAAGATTCAAATAGATCGTCACATTAGTGTAGTAACGGAATAAGTTCCTAACAATTTAAAAGGAGTTTATCAGTTATTGCAATGAGGAGATGCACTTGTTTCTTAAGGCGACAGGAAATGCAAAGCACTGCTGCTTTAATTCAGGACTTTTAACAAATTCTGAAACGGTGAAACAATGATTAGAACAGCTTCTATAATTTGTGTGTTTTTATTTCCACCGGTACATAATCATCCTTATTATAATATTGATTATAGTGATGTTATTATAATAATAAAAGTTAAGGCTTTTTAACTATACTGATTGACTGACGAAGGGTATCATCTGTGGCTCGTATTATTCTCTTACACTTTATTCTTCCAGTAATTTTATAATGTTTCACCGTTTCCAGTTATATACAACAACAACCAATCAAAGTACTCTTTTTCGTGGGAGTACACCCGATACACAAATATACCTGTTATATTGCTATCGATTTCGTGGTTGAAATAACAGTGTACTTAAAAATATATATTAAACACGTAAAGAAAATATTTACAATCGTCAAGAGAAGTGTTAGTCATGCGGCTACAACTCACTTCTCATGATCGGTTAAATTTCCGATGTTTATTTACACAAATAGTGTTTGATGTAAGCTTTCCAACGCAAGCGGAGATTACCCTTGTATACTGTTTCAGATGCCGCTCTCAGATCTATAACTCGATGCTACGATCTGTTTAATATATCATATCTGATTAATAAAATGTTGACTTTTGAAAAAATAGAAATACTTATTGAAACAAACTGTACTGCTTTGCCTACCGAATTCTATTGAATATGTAGGTGAAACTTTCTTTCATAAACGTCTGTCAACATTGAAACAATCTTCTGAATTAAATGCTTAAATTTACTCATTTAAAAGGTACATTAACCCTCAGATATAAAAACATTTTTTCTTCTTTAGCAAAGTAAGGTTGTATGTTGTTTTAATAAAGGAAATTTCCATTAACTTAGTTCCGCCTATTGTTTCTCGTTTAGGTCACAGGCATTCCTTACTTTGGGACCATTTGCCGCTTTTCATGGAAGTCACATTGAAGGTTCCTTAATTACTTTAGTATGAACACTTTTGCGTAAATTTCTTTATTCTAAAGTTCACCAAATTTTGTGTCAATGTTTAATTCTGCTAAAGCCGGCGCTAGGGAGCGTTGACAGTAGCGTGCAATTACAACGGACATGGTCAATCAAACCGACTTTTTTCAATAATTTTAAGTTGGCCGTTCTATTTCAAGCAATGTAAATGCTTATCACCTGACGTAATTAGCACTTTTGTCATTTACATTTTAATGATTTTTCATTAAAGTATCAAACTGTAAACAAAGAGTATTTTTACTGCAAATCATAATGTAGGATAACATTATCTAAACTTTCCTTATTATCAAAAAATTTATTTGCGAAATATTGCACAACTTTTGTGGCGAATGAAGTTATTTTTTAACTGTAACAGGGGACCAAATATGAGCTTTCATAAGTTGAAATAATCAGCATTTAGGGGGCTGAATGGTTCATTTACTAGTTTTCTGGTGATTTAGTGTGTGTGTTTTTTTTTGCTTTTACAGACATTAAAATAGGCAGATATTGTTGTTTTTTTTGCAAGTCTTTAAACTTTGAATGCTTTTAGAATAAAATAGAAGAAACATTAAAGCTGCATGCCTCCAGATGTCTTAAAATATTTTAATAAAATCAAACTTGAGAAATCTGTACTACGATTTTAGAAAAAGTAAAATTATTCAAGATTCAAGTAATATGTTACGTGTTATGTGCGGTTAATGACTGATTTTTCAGTATTTACAACTATATTTCTACTGCGTTACTAACGCAGTAAGGGCTTTTTATGCATATTTTGACCACTTTTTGGTAATTTACGTGGGTTGTAAGTGCCATTGATAATGTGTAAATTGTTTCCTTTTGGTTATTTCACAATATTATACATTCAAATACATTTTCAAAATTTTCATGAATATTAGCATGAATCTGGAGGCGTGCTGCTAATATTTGGGTTGTCGATTAACTTTTTTTCAGCCCTTGCATTTGATTTTTATTTTTATTAGGTTATTGCAGATAACTACAAAACATCTTTGATATCTTTTCACTTTAAGAAAAGAGGTTGAAATTGAACATTCTTTAGCAATAGGTCGTTTTTGGAAGACAGTTTGTCAGAATCTAGAAATATGCCATATAGAACAAGACTGGGTAATTAATTTAATGATCCGAAGTACCGAAAACCTTTTTAGTTACTCACGTCTGCTACGGCATGTTATACAAGGCTTGTAAGCCAATCGAAATTTGGGCAATTTACTTGCTTCATAACAATAATTTTGAATATATTTATTAATATATTGTACATATATCTAGATTGCTTTCCTCCAAACATTGTAAATGTGTTTTGAACGTTATAATACAACAGTACTTATTTAAAGAATGGTATAAATTTCCGTATACTTGATATTTTTTGTTTACTTGTAATACAAATTAAGTAAACTAATTTCTCCCTACATTCCACGTATAAATTACATCGTACAATTATAATTCTGTTTGCTTGTGATGTACATTATAGGCGATCAAAAAGCCTAAATTGTTTTATGATTGAGATATGCATGTATGCTAAATAAGCAAAACATATTATAGTATGCCTATGAGATTTAGAAATGCTTTTTCTTGCATTTCTTCAAATATTATAGAGTCTCCGAGAAATGTTTAGTTTTCTTCCATACCAAGATGAAGTCAAAGTCAAAGTATAATGTTTTATTTTACTTAAACAATATTTTATTTCAGGATCATTTATTAAGGCAGATGTTACCAAAAAAAATATAAGTAAGTCGATGTCAAAAATCAATATCAGCAATTTCCGACCAATAAAACCATACCAAAGATGTTGATATTATAGGAAAAATAATATCATGGAAATAATTCTAAAAATGTGTTGAATATGTGTTGTAGATGACATTTTCTCTCATTCATTTTTTTTTTCATTTTCATTATTATTTGACCTTACAAATTGATAATCTTCTGCATTTAACGACGAAATTTCCGAAACATATTATTTCTTTATAAACCAATAATAAATAAATGAATTATATGTGTAAAAATAGAAGAAAAAAAAGTACCATATATGCCATCTGAAAGATACTAAATGGAGTGACACGATGTAAGGCTAAGAAATGTTGGTCTGATCATAGATGATCTTTAATATAATACCAGTGTACTGTAACAAGAATAGATGTCACCTCCTTCAGAGCATCAACTAGCCGTGTTTAAAGCTTCCAGACCCTTCTTGTTTTCATGAGTTTTTTAATATCAGATTCTAAAAGTATGGTCAACTGAACAAATAGGGTGATTTGAACTAGTAGCTAGAACACTACATGTTCTAAAATATTACAAATATAGTAAAAAATAGCCCATGTAATTACTGAAAATTGTAATTAAAACAGTAATATAAAACAAGAAAATAAGAATCCCTAAAGAAAGCCCATCATTGAGCCTGTTCATGGATGGTAATGTCAAGTGCAAACTATCGTCCACGCCTCCTAGCACCGACTTAAGCAGAATTCAGCATTTAAACATGAAATGGTAAAATTTTGAATTACGGCGATTTTCAAGGAACCTTCAATGTGACACTACTGTGCCATTCCATGAAAAGCGGCGTATGGTCCCCAAGTAATAGAAAGTGTGTGCCCTAAACGGGAAAACAAAGGCGGAACTAAACAAAATAGAATTTTGAAAGTGGATCAGTGGTTATGAGAATAAGTCATATCCTGTCTGAAACATGCAAAAAGTCATCTGTATTTAGAATAATTATACATTCCCATGACTTTTACAATGCAATGACATTTTTGAATGTTTGATTTTTTTAGTATATTTCTTTACTCAATTATCGGCATGAACTTTGAAGATAATATTCTCTTTTTTAATCAATTCTTCCTTTGAAATTCTGACTGTTTTGCAAATACCGGATATGAAGATAAAAACTGACACAAGATCATTTGGTATTTTCAATTTTATTTTCATAAATAATATATCTCTTTGAAATAAAACCACATACTCACAGAAACAAAAAAGAAAACGTGTAACTATAGAAAATTAAGCATTCACTCTCAGGACAAAAACAATTATGCACTGAGATAAATTGAAATTAACTTTTTTTCTATACAGATTTAGAAATTTATTGAGAATCCATTACATACAACTGTATGATTTAATACATACAACTGTTCATTGCCAATTAAAAAATTAAAAGACTGGATTTTTATGCTATTTAAGGTCAAAAGTATATAGCATATTTGATACATTTAACCATCTCAATTAAAACATTTATGGAGTTCTAGTGCAAAAACATATATTACGGAAATTGTTTCAGAACCAACAAAATACAAGTAAAGAAAACATTTTTCAATGAAGAATTGCTTTCATTGCCAAATCACAAAAGTTAGAATGCATTGCTTTCTTTTGCAGTCATTTCCAACAAAGTGTTTTTGATTAGGTTTAAAATGAATTTAATGGACATCTCTAAATGACCGTTGTATTCAGTGACTTAATAATGGTTTTAAAACATAATTAGGAAAATGCATTTTGTCACTTACTATTGTTACAAAATACGTTTTACAGATTGTTAAGACTGGTGAAATCTTTTTAGTAAACATTTTGGCAAAAGTGGTATTATGCACTGATATAATTTACAATATAACTGAAACGACTGATTTTTTTTAAATGGAGTTGTGAGATTGAAATGAATAAAAGGATCAATGAGTATAACTTAAAGTTGTGTCTTGTTGATGCAAGAGTTATATCAAAATGTAGTTTCTGAGTAAACGTCAATCAGACTGAGTGTATATATACATCTAGTTTTGTCAAAAAACATAAACAACAATATTCATAAAGTGAAATAGCACAATATATGCTGTACATATAAACCACCCACTAAACAATATATCACAAAATAAAGAAGTTTGAATTTCAAAACCCATCTTGTAAATAGATACCGAAAACTTCTGTCCTGTTATTGTTTTCTTTCCACAGGGCTAAGCTGCCCATGTCATGACTGCAAGGGTGCTGATTTGAAGTGATTTTGAAACATATTGTGAATGAGTTGCTATATTAAGTGAGATTTTAAATATATGAATGGAACATTTATAATATCCTGCCGTCTTTCTCTTGTACATGCTGTAACAAAATGTCCAAACATAGATATAAGTTGACCAGTTGATTAAAGTGGCCAATGTGTAAAACCGGATTTTTTCACAATTGTTATTTTAAGCACTTTTGATTAAAGCATACATTTGACATACTTTGTTCGATATGTCAATATTTGTGTCGTTTTCTTGAAATACGTCCCCATAGTCACATTCTCTGTGCCTACTCTTTAAACATATACACATCCTACTTAAAACTTATATTTAGCACAAATATTTGTGTCAGTATGAGTTTACTAGTAAACATAACAGTAACACGTCATCACCACACTTCTGATGTCATTTCCGGTCTACCGGGAAAACTTTGTAACGATGACGCTGATGAAAATGGCGGAATCATTGGTCGTCCAGGACCGTTTGACAAGAATTGCTCCTCAGAATGGATGTTGTGCATTGATTCTGGTGATGTTGACGGTGGGAGAATATCCCCGGGCATAAACTGTCCATCTGGAACCATACCAACTGTAAATATATATAGCACAATATTAGTTTTCAATAATTACATGCTATTTTCATATATAGTAATGTTATACTAGTAATATCTCGATGATGACATTATTCTAGATGGACTCTTGCTTAATCAAAAGATCTAAAATGTTTCATATTAATGTGAAACATAGTTTTAGTAGCTTCAAAGTAGTATATTTGTTTCTTTTTCATGCATATAAAATTGTACTGTACGATATTTTGTTTTCATACATCTGGGTCCGATTCATTCAAACGTTTTGAGCAGGAAGATGATTATTGTTCAATAGTTTTTAAAACAATGCGTGTCTGGTGTAGTGTTACTACTTCTTTTGGTTAACGTTTAATAAAATTTATCATTAAACTCGGGTGTTAGCGACATAAGTGATTATTTTATAGCAGTGATTTACATCTATATAATATTTCATTTTACATTTATTTTGATGTCATTCGTTGAAGCGGAAAGAACTGATATTTTAGAGCACGTTTTTATTTTTCATTTGAAAACATACAGACATGTTACATTGTACAATTATTAACTATGTATTTATTTTCATTCTAAACAGATAGGCAACGGTGTGTATGTGAAGTATTTTATTTATGTTTATTCTCCAAAATGTTAACTTTCTCAACCGTAACGATATCATATTTATCAAAATTTCGGTTTCAATGCCTCGAATACTACGAGGCGACTTTTTTTTCACAAACTGCATTTAATTTCTAAATTGTGTGTGGTTCTTTTAACAGTATTTTATTGCGCACCATAGTGTTTCTATTTTGTTAATGCGTCTTAAGATAAAGCAGGATTTTTGCATCTGTTTAATTAAGCTTCTCCATATGTGATCACGTGAAAAACGTGCAGAATATGTGCCACAGTAAGAGGTTAACAATCGACGTTAATGCTGCCGGTATTTATGACATAATTTTACGTGTCTAGTAAAATTATGCGATATCTTAAGATAAATCATATAATCTTATATCGCACGTTTTATGTATCAATGTCTCATCATGTATATGCTCAAAAACAAACGAGATATTCCGAATGAAACACTTTACGTGCGTATAACGTCAGAGAAAGAACCATTTAAATATCTTGCTTGATCTACTAATGTACATTAAGTATACGTATAAAACACGGATCAAAGACACACTGAGTATAGACCTAATCATTTAAAACAGACTTCTGTACGCACACAAACCTATCAATGCCATAGCGTACGATACAATATCTACTACATCAAAATACCATATAAAACATACAAACATGTAACAAATTTTATATCATTTTAGCACATTTCTTTTATTTTTATAAATGCAATATCTCTTCATTTACAAATATACTTATAACTCTGGTGATATAAGTTTTCATCATATTCTTTTTTATACAAATAAATAGAAGAAATAAGCATTGTTTGTAAAGCTTGAACATACACTTTATGCTCTAAGGCATTCGAAAAAATAAGCAAATCTTAAGTCGTGCTCAAAGATTTTCATGGGTCTTAGAATCATACAGTTTAAAGAACATTCTAATTCTTAGATTAATTAAAAATTATAATGTGCATGTATTAACAACAACTTGTATTTAAATGTTTTTATTTCACTATGACAAAAGAAATTGTTAAATTTTGCCATGGGAATACTTAATAATTTTTGCCATGGCACCATTGTTTTATGTAGATAAGTCTCTACGTGTATTTTCGAAGCCTTTAACATAATTCTTTGCAACTTTATTACGTTATACTTTTTATTTACAATGTAAAGTTAAGGCTTTTTAACATCTGAAAATATATTTTTCAAAATACAATGCAACTTTTCTTTTTGAAAATTTAAACAGAAATGTTTTTTTTTTCTTTTTTAAAAAAATAAATATATATATCCTTGATTTAGTTAATTGGAGACTGATAACTTCCTCTTTTTATTTTGCGTTTGATTTGAAACTTTTGTCGTTTCCTGCTCATCATAATTAATATGTTTAAAAATGATTTGTTAAAAAGCGCCATATTGTGTCTCACAGATGTACACGTCCCATATGCTGTATGTTTTCACATTCACTTTGTTTTTACATATTTCTATGATCATTTAACCCTGATCGCTGTACAATAAAATGAATAAGAAAAGATAAACGAGTTATAATGTCAAAGTAAGCTATAACCTTTAATTAAAATAAATTCACCTTAAGAATTTATAAAACTAAAGTAGTTATACAAGTTAAACATTTTGCTCGTGACTTACCTCTCGAAGCCATCATTCCATGATCCATATGTGGGGGTGTACCACGTGGATTCTGCATCATGAAGTTCATATTTCCAGGTGGCATTTCTGGTCCTGGGCCTTGACCATGGTAAAACGTATTATAAGGTGGAAAATTACCATACATATCTGGTTCACCTTCTGCAAAAGAAAAGAGATCGATTTTTTTAATCATTTGTTCATAATCTACATGAAATGGGTTCCGAACTGATGTTAGACACAATAAGTTACGTTTTGTTTTAAGAAATGATATAACATTAAACCCAATTTAGTTAACAGAACGATTTTGTTAGTTTATTGTACAATTAGTTTGTAATTATACTAGCTTTTGAATTATACTCTTTTTACATCGTTCATTTTTATTTCTTTCAGCTTCTTTCTTTGTCCTGTGTTGACAGTATTTTGCGCAAACGTCGTGGAACCAAATAACGACAAGCATCATTTGTTTACTCTTTTACATGATTGTTATTAGTTACTCTTTCAAATCAGCAATGCAGTTTTTGCATATGTGTGTATACCAAAGCTAACTTATGTATGACTTGCACATAAAAGCACATCTTTTTAAAGATAATGGCTTTACTCTCAAAGGTATTTACTACTTCTTTTATGTTATTGTAATGTGCATATATAAATGTAATAAAATGTAATTGTAATGTCAGTTTGAATGAAAAATATCAAATTTGGAGAGATAAAAAATAAGCTAATGATGAATTGTATTTATTGTGTTATAAAACAGTTATAGTTTGCCTTAAATACTAAAATTTAGTTGTAAATCGGTCAAATACATGTTATATGTCGGTACGATTTGCAGCTATAAAAATGTTGCATATTCTTGTACAGAAAAGTTTATGAGACGTTGTTGCATAAGTATTTACCACGTAACATCAATTTACGTATTTATCCCATGGTTTATGTGAGTGCACATTAAAGTAATTGTCCATTAAATACTGAGAATATGTACACATTACCGTAATTAAAACCGTAAACACTCAGCTATCCGTATCTTAAATCACAAGATATAAACTTCAATAAATTCCAGAAAATATGTAATAGTTTTCTTAAGCAAAGCTAGACATCTCTAGAAGGCACACTGAGTTTTCTATTGGGATAATCCTGATTCGTATAATTAAAAATGTATAAAGATTATGAATTATTGTTCCTATCGTTATTCTTTTATAACTCCGGAGAGAAAAATATTAAAAACTCTTTTGTGTATTCACTAATAAGCAATGAAAATTGCGTCCTGTCAGGTTTGAAAAGAACATACTGTGCGAAAATAACGGGAAACTGCCGTAAAAAGTCTTCTTTTTCCAATCTGTCATTGCAATGCCAATATTTTTAATAAGTGACCTATATACGTTAATATTTTATGAAGTTAGGCATAAGTGTAAAATATTTTAATAGATCGGACGGGGATTTATTCATACTATTATATCATCGGGAAATTATACGTCTTTTCAGTACTCCCTCCTTGAGTCTATCAATTTTTCTCTTCATATCCCATGCTCGATGTTACATGGTTCCAGACAGGAAAAACCATAACTTTGAGCGATCAAAGGTGCTTCTTGTTTATGATTATTATTTTTCATAATATTCGTCGCCAGGCAAAGTAATAACGACTGGCTAATAAAAAATTTAATACAGACCATCCGACAAATATTTATAAAACTTCTTTTAGTATTTCTGTAAATAGCATCCCATAATGTTCCCATAAAATATATTTACAGCAAAATGAAAGACACGAACAAAACACCAAACGACAATTTTTAGGCCGAAAGACGTAAAGCGTTTCCATAAATTTTAACGACATTCACTCCCCGAATGAAACAAGTACAGCAATATGTTCACACTTTAGTACAATGAGCGAGACTAAATTTCATTTTTACGACATCCAAGACTGCCATTTAAGGACCATAAGCCGGCACCCAGCGGCGAAGCCAAAACATAAAACGCCAGGGGACCAATACCACGACAATTCCCCTCCCACTTCAAAGGGCGTTTCAAAAGAACAACATCTATATTTTCACCGTATAACAAAAGGGTCTAAAATGTAAACCTATAATTTTAAAATTTGCATTTTGTGAAGTTTATTTAAATTCAGTTTTCAATGTGACAAAATGGCCTCCGCTCAGCAGGGTAAATAAATGGTGCGTTATGTTCCTTTTTAACAAGTTACGGAATGAACGTGACCAAAAGCATCAACAAATAATGCGTAACAAGTGTTTTGAAACTTAAATGCTTGGATAAAAAAGGAATACAGCTATATTTTTATTATTCAGTGTGCTAAGATTTCGTGCATGAATTAGACTTTTAAAAAACTAACCATTATAATAGCCAAATCCGGGTCCCATCATCTCTGCATCATCCAAATCACCCCTGAGGGCGCGCATGCGCCGTGGACTTCTGAAGAAATGTCGCCTGGCCCCAAGAGCGCTTAACTGTTTCATCCGACGTTCTTTAGACCGTCTGTTTTGGAACCATACCTAAAACAAAGTTTCAAAGTTAACTTCCGTTTATTAAATTACGTGATTTTTTTCAATATCTCGTTTAAAAAGAAACCAGCATTTTCGTTTTGAAACGAAATGAGCAGGTGATACTTTGATTTCCTGCAATATAAATTTATTATTCAAAAATTTTTCGTTCTATTTTTTTTATCTGTCTAAAGATACGTCAAAAAGAACCAAATTACATGTCAACACAACTAATCGATCATAACATATGTTACTTAGCAAACTGAAAACATCCGTACGTCTTTCATATTAACCTTTATCATTGATTTAAACACATGTGACCACTAGGTTTTTGAAGCATACAAACATTTATCATGAAATAATCTGTCAAATGAAGACACTTTTCAGCCAAACCAGACAAAAGCCATATCTTTGTCACGTAAATCAGAGTCTTGTTCCTAACATTACCACCAAGGAAATTTGTATTTTGTTTCTTACAAAGAAATCTAGACATTGTGTATAGAACATTCTTATGGTATCTGAATTGGGCACTTTGTGCTTATATTTTTCACTACAAGAATGATACTTAAATACAATTATGAACTAAACATGTTATCAACATTTTATAATTGCAGAAAATGATTTGGTATAGAAGGTGCCAGTTTTATAAAATGCAAAATATTTCACGTTTTATCTTTATACGATGTATGAAAGGTTATATTAGGTTTGACATTATGTCCAAATCCCGGCCAGCTTGTGACGAACAATTTTCTTGTACTCGATACTGATTGTCTAATTTAGTGGTGTCTTTCCACGTGACAAGTTTGCAAAGGATAACAGCAAATTAACGCCCGCCTATTTTCACAACATGTTATTACCTTATTACTGGAGAGGACTACAAGGGGAGTTAATGATTGGTCATTTGATTTCTGCGACAGGCGTTTTAGGTGGTAATAGGTATTTACGGAAAGTTTAACACCTGCAAACAGTACAGTCCTTCCTACACAATTAGTAAAAGTTCTTTTGTATCCAGATATAACATCCACGAGCATCAGAAACAATGGATAGTCTTCTCATATAGCCCTTGACAATGGGTTCCTAGTAGTAGTCTGGCTTTATTCGGTCTTTTATACGACAATGTAAATGAAGACTTACAATAATAGGGAAAAAGCATTATTTTTCACTCCCGATTAGTAGTTTATGTTTCCTGGTATAAGTATTGTTTGTTATTGTTGATATAAAAGAATCAAATAAAAAGAAAAGAAACTGTATTATTCAGAACAAAGAAATTTCTCTCCGTATGCAGTCAATTATCTGCAGATATGCTACACTTGTAATATTTCGGTTTTAGATTATCTCATACACCGATACATGCAAATATTTCAGCAGAAAATATCTTTTGCATACTGTGGTATTCAAAAACGCAAGTTATGATTCGCGATTAAGAACTAGAAAAATCAAATTCTACTTCTGATTGTTGAAGAATTGCTATAAAGAACATAATCAGAGTTCCAAATTTCCACAATTAACGCTGTTCGGATGAGTTAGATTCTTTTACTATATCAGTTTTCCCGCGTTCCTTTGATCACGTGAATTGAAGCATCAGAGTTACCTACATGTTTTTGTTATCGTTCTGTATGACTTTCTACAGTTATCAAGCGTTTTAGTAACCCAGGGGATGATGTCGGTGCAAAGTAGGTGTACGGTGCTCTTGTTACAAAGAGCGTCTAACCGACCGAGACGGCATATCCCACAACGAGCTTTGCAGACACGTTGTTTTTCCTGTGAAGTTCAAACAAACTTTTCCAGAGCATACAATTCAGATTTTTTTTGTCCTTACGACGAGAAATGGCAGGTAAAAATACAACTGTAACACAAGTTCGATGACATATCCTTCTATTTACTACTGATGTCTAGTAAATAAACAAGACATAGTCACAAAAATGACAAGGCGTTTAAATGATGTGAAAGCCTACGATCATATTACCATCATATATACCTGCAAAAAGCTTTCATACTTTATTATGAAGAAATTCACAATATCATCTTTATACACAGATAAACTGCGCTAAAAGGCAAGGGAATCAGCAAATTTACTAGTATGCAATTATAAGGTAAATATGACGAGCAATGCTTAGAAACGCCAATGTTTGGAAAGCTCTTTGAAAAAAAAAAGCAAAGTATAAAAATCTGATATAAAATGCGAAAATCATACCTTTAGTGTAATTGTGTTATAGAAAAATGATGATATAAAGAATGCATGAAATATATTTGTGCCTTTCATATATGTAATTTAGTTTTCAGTTCAAATTGACCTTTGTTTCGACCATGAAGTTGCTTTTCTGGAGTTTCTTATCATTTTAGGCAGCTTCCATTGATTAAAAAACATATTAAGACAGGCCAATTTAGATGGTGTGGAAATTAAAACCTTTTAATAATTCGCCAGATAATGACGTCTTATGTATCTTGTAGATCAAGTATTTTGTAAATCGTACGAGTAGTCGTTAACATGTGTTCACCGGTATAGCTCATTAATCACCTTTCGTATACAGACTCTTTTGAAAGTCACGTGGTTATCAGTTTTAAGATGAAATACCACCCATGTATCACAGTGATATTAAAATTCATCATCATCCTCGTACAAAATGCAAAATTCTAAAGAAAAGTTGACGTTTCTAATCTGGATTTGCTCCAGTTGTTGCCAGATATTCTGTTTGAAGAACATATAAAACGTCGAACTTATATTTCATTTCGCTTCGGCGACTGTTTTAAAAGGAAAATGTATTTAGAATGAACTGACGATACGATAGACTTAATATTTCTCTAATTTTCGCAGGGTTGATTAAGCCTTATTTCACATTCTAGCTTGCTGTGTTTTCATATTGTAAATGAACTTAGATTTTTGTGTCTGATTAAAAGTGCGGCGTGTTTATTTTTGTTGTTCATTAAAACATCATTATGAAGAAAAAAGAGGAAAAAAACTGCGTTAACAAAACCGAGAAATATTGTGCGGTGTGTGAAATCTACAAAAGAGTTAAACATCAAAACGTTTATATATATTTTTGTCATTATATTTCTGTACATTTGCGAAAAAAGGCTGGGTGTTAACTTTTGCTCTTCATGGAAGAAAGGACATATTTAATAAATCGGCAAATCGGCTGGCAATATACTAATTGATTACACACAGTTGCATTACTATCTAAATATATGTTTTATACATTATATGTTTTTTTCAGATATACATGACTTTTTATATCTAATGACAAATACTAATGTTACAAATTTTACGAGTCAAACTTCAAAACATATGATATAGAAAATGAAGAAGAAAAAAACGAAACAAATGTTTTCTCTCAAAACTTAATTTTCGGTTTATTGATTTTTAGAAATATTGCCAATGGAACTTGTTGGACAGGTCAAACTTAAACGAGCCTTTTCATCCTTTAATTTTGAAAAAAAGTGTTTTATATTTTTTAATATTTATCTAAATTACGTCATAATTAAACCATTATTTCTGTTTTTTTGTTGTTTTTTTCGAGGAGAAACGAGAAGAACAAATACGTTAGGAGAAAGTCTGCTCGCGTCATTAAAAGATCCTACAGTCTACTAGACACGCCATATTCTCCACAACTCGTAAACGAACGAGTGAAAAAAACTATTTACCCGACGTAATTGCATTAGCGCAAACCGTAATGTCCTCTAACTCCGCCATTTTGTTGCTTATAATGTCGCCTGTCGAGCGTTATTTGACGTAGCGGTTTGAGGCAATGGTGCGCAAGAAGCCACTGGGAGCATTAAAATTTCCTTCCGCGTTTTTTTTTATAGTTTTTGTTTATACAGAATTTATTTATAGTTTTGTTTTAATTGTTATAAAATGATTTTTTGAGCCAGGGTAATGTTTTAGTTCATGTGAATTAAAATAAAAATACATTTAAAGTAACAAAATATTGTAAGTTATTTTTCTCATAACGATCTTTTTTAGGAGATAACAGCGTATTATGATGTGTCTATTAATAAAACGGCAATAAGATTTGATTAATATTTTAAAACTATGTAATAAATCAAAATTTTATGGCTTTCCTATAAAGCTTATTAAATGTAGTCTCCATTCTTCATATTGAACATTATTATATTTAATTTTATCCGCAAATAAAATAACATATAAGACACCTTATTTGTAAGCTAGGCGTATGATAATGTATTGGTCAACATGGAATATATCAAAGGAAATATATCTTAGCAATCAATGACAATAATTATTAAGACATTGAAATGTTTATAAATGATAAGCATTTTACCTGTATAACTCTCATATTTAGTCCGGTTTCTGATGCCAACTGTTCTCTTATATGTCGGGTTGGTTTTGGTGTAGCATTGAACGCTGCCTTGAGAACTTCCAATTGTTTGGCCTTAATTGTTGTTCTAGGTCCTCTTCGCTTACTACCGGGACCAGAATGGTTTCCATTCGCATCATTTGCGTCTCCATCATTATCGTTTATATCACCACAAGAAATATTGTCATTAATATCAACGCTTTCGTCGCTTCCGGGACCGGAAGTCGTCCCACAATTCATGTTTATATCCGGGCTATGCGGTGACGGTGGCGTATTTTCATTTAAACCGTTCATCCCGCTTTCCAGTTTAACAGAAATTTGATGTTCCGATAATAAGCCATTTTCCATTTTTATTGGCGATGTACAATGACCGTTGAATTTTGAATTGAAAGAATTGTTCGCGTCCAATAGCATATCTGCACCTTTCAAATCTTCGTTTTGGTTCGTATTGGATTTTATTATATGAGATTTCTCATCTCCAAAAATGTCTTTCTCACTATCCTGACTATCTAACGTGCTGTCAAAATCCATGGAATCGTCCTCCCCGTCTGAACCTGGAAAAATACATGTAATTTTAATAAATATTTATCAACCTGGGTGATTATATAACAGGTAACATTCATCGTTTCTTGACCTGTTCGTTTTTTTTGAAAGAATCATTAGATTTTTCTAGAAAGTTCCAGAAATGCCAATATACGACAAAAAGGGTAGGGGGGAAATTATGTTATTCCCTTACCATAATTTCACGACTTTGATTAAACTTCATATTATAAAATCATTGTCACTTGAGTTCATTTCTTGAATGTCATCTATAAGAACAAACTCCATTACTCTCTTTTTTATATTTTCGTCTTACATACATAATGCAGTTGCAGTAATGTAATCTACACAATTTATATTTCCTTGCATTCTGCCATTTGTTAAGTTTTGATTTCTCTGCTAAAATTTCAGTGGTAGCAAAGATCAGATAATCTATGGCATGCTTCTCCTGTAAATGCATTTACAGTTTCCGCAACCAAAGAGATAAATCATAACAAGTATGTCTTATAGTTGTCATGGTTTCTATAAATCATTACAATTACCATACTGATGACGGTCTTGACAAACTAGGTCTACGTCTATAAAAACATACATTTTATGTTTTGGCACATTTTTGTCGTTTTTGCTCCATTCTTGTCCGTTTGTGCTCATTAAATCGTCTCAGAACCAGACTGCAAAACAGACTGGAGCTTTTACAGTATTGTACTCGTTTACTTTATTTTTTATAAACGAGTTTTTTTTCTTCTTCTACCAAGATATTAAAGAGGGTAATGTTAAAAAAGATAATTGACTTTCATTCATACATAGGAATTTCCGAATATTTTTTGTATCTTAACTAAGCTCATATTCTGTAAAATAGACCTAACAACTTTGGTGGCACATATCGACCTGAAACCAGATATTCGATGCATGTCGACGAGTCTTGGTATTTCTACGGCACTTCACGGTCTTGCAGAACAAACCATTGCAAAAATGTTTATTTGTATGCCAAAACCATTGCCATCATGCTTCTTAACTTAGCGGGTATAAATGGTGAGTTTTACTCCCTGTATATGACTTCTGCAGGTACATTTTACCAGTTTACTTGGCGGGTGTTATTGTTTACTATTGTGTTTTACATCTATTTAATTACTTATTTATTACTGATGTTGTTTGGCTTTCGTTATTTATTAGGCGATACCTTCATTTAATGACAAAAACAATTTCAGACCGGTGCCATTGATGTTCAACACGTGAAGAGATTAGTTAGGATGCATGTATACGCCCCCAAGCCTAACATAGGCTAGTAAACTGGGTTCACTATCCATCAGAAAGTTTCAGAAGTTCTCCTAAACATTTAATGCCATTCATATATATATTTTTATGAGCCAAATGTTCATTTTAAATGTTTGTTGTTTCAGTTTTTCATGTGTCTCTCTACCTGCAATGTGTTTCATTTGGAATAGAATGATTTTATAAAGATGATGCAGAAAGGGTGTGATGATAAAATGTGTGTAACAAATACTAACAACGTTCCAAATGCACTCCGCAAGGAAAGAAACCAACAGAATCCTGTATTTACTTAATTGGGATGGTAATCACTGCCGAAACAATTGATTTTAATAAGATATAAAATTTATATATGTGTTCGTGTAAACGATATACGATCATAGTGGTGTTGAAGAGTTTTTTTACGTTGTTTAAAAAATGATGCATTGACAATGTCGGCTCACTCCGTCATAATCGTAAATCCCGCAACGGTTAAACATATAAACTAAAATGTAGTCAACTGTTTCCAGAAAGTAGGCGCCAGAGAAAAGCAAACGTTGTCAGTATTTTGTTTGTATAGCGTCAAAAAGTTGATGGACCTTAAAGAGAAATTCTAAACTGTAGTAAGTTAAACATATTGCAAGTCTTTAGCACATATCTTAATGTCATTCTCAGTTATAATTTATTTACTCTGCAAGCCATATGAATAAACAGTTATGCGAAAAATACATTTATTATAATTATAGCACTCGATGGAAATAATATTCAGAGAAACCTATGCATGAAGTGCTAATTTGAATGCTGAAATGTAATCAAACTTTTGTGAATTTGAAAGTTAAATTTTAAAATGGATATATATAACTAAAAGCATTGCCTTCTTTTCGCGTTTAGCAACTAGAGGATATGTTACACACTTAACACTGTAAATTTTAAAATTATAATTAAACAGGAAGTCAAAACTTTGTTTTTCTTGTAGGCAGTCCGAAATATTTAAACTAAACATGAGCTGTATATAAACAGATGTACGAGTATATCGTGTACATGTTTTATTGTGTAATCGTCTAAAATCAGTGGCTACTAAAACTATGTCGGATGGATATTGTTCGCGTGATCCATTTAAGCCTTGTTCCTAACATTTCAGAGTCCTCTTCAATACTCATTTACATAAGAACATCAACAAAAGTGTTTTGTACGTATAAATTTATCGACGGTCCCTCGTGCACTAGGATTATTTTATTCCGCAAATATATCCTGCAAGCTTCATTTGCATATTCATGCGCGATGCTCCACTGTTTTGGCGGATTTGGTATTCATGCGACAGAAGGACGGATTTATCTTGAAGCCACATCGTTTTCATCTTTGACCTTATTTTATCCCCTTGTACCATTATTCATCCGCTAGGACACTTGAATTGTTTTGAAAAGGACAATCACATTGTTCTAAAATTAGATCAAGTCACGGGGGACGCTAGGAACTACATTATATGAGGGTTCTTAAGATTTCTGCTTCTTAAATCCTTGTCTGCTGTTATATACATTAAAACTTACGAATTGAAATTCTGTGTAATTAAAAAATAATTACGCGTTTAAAAATAAACCATTCGTTCAGTTCAAGCAAAAAAAAAAGAAAAAAAGAAGCCAGTGCTACTGCAGGAAAAAAGTTTTTTTTCCTCTTTGAAAATTTGCATGACTGAAAAAAAATAGTTGAAACATTTTGTGACAAAAGAACACGCAATGTTATTGATAAATGAATACATAATTGTTCCGCTGATACTAAATTTGAATTTCAAAATGGTTGCGGCAGTTTCCGGTTGTCAGAATAAATCCGCAGAGAATTTTGACGTGAATACGGTTGTCGTAAAGTAGTCCAGAATGTGTGATTGACAAGACAAGTTACACTTCTATGGAATCTTCAATCTCGAGAGAGTTAAATGTTGTTAGAATCGTTTTAGATGGACGATAAGGAATCCTGATACGTGGTTTTACACAGAAATTAATGAATCGGGGGTGTAAAGTATGTTTTCAACAAAACTAAGGGCAATTACATCAATTATTTTAAAAAATGATTGACATGAAAGGTGTTAACTAATATACGAGTATGTATCAAAAAAAATCAGCCGATAAAAGAATACCTTTTATAATGTAATCTTTCTGTTATTTTGTTTCTGTTTTATAAACTGCCGATATTTTTGTTTTGCATTTTTCTTTTATTCAAAAATTTTAATTTCAAATAATCTGAATGCATTGTTTTTTAATATAGAATCACATTTTAAGAACACGCAATCCGTTTTATCATTAAACCCGTGCGTATATTTCGTTCTTTTTAAATACAAAGAACCTCCGATTTTGATTAACTTTTTTATTTAAAGCCACGGGTCTTAAACTGCGCCGTAAGTCCTTACGGTTTTCATAGATCGTTAAATATGAAAACAGTGTAAAACAACTCGGTGCCAAGCAAATGGAAATGTTGGACAATTTGCCGGCACATAAATCTGTTGAACGGGGTATTGATTGATGGACGCGCACATGCTATATGTTCCATGTTATGATCATTTACTTGACACCTTGTTAATGAAATATTTATTTAAGGCCACGAAGGCAACCGAACCTTTTCTTTTCAACAGATGACCAGTATTTTGAGAACAGGGTAATGGCTTATCAGTATCAAACGTTTAACGACATGACGAAGTAGAATTTTTGCACATTATTTTCCTGACTTGATTATTAATAAACGTTACTATTACATTTTTTAAATCAAACTGTATTTTTCCCCACAAAATAATATATATAATTTTAAGTAAGTTGATTGTGAAATTGGAAGGTATTTCTAAGTAAAGAAATAATTATTGAAATTTATTTTTTTACAAAATAAATCTCTTAATATATAACCACAAAAAAACGGTCCTGTCTGTAAAATCAAAACTTTCAAACAAATTTTAGATTTTATTTCAAAAATTTAAAACAAATCATAAGTCACATAGTCTGCTGTTAAAATCAAATCTTGGTGATTTAGCATGCATTAAAGTACTTATATATTTTGTATGAATATATATACAACAAAATGAAAATACTTATATGATAGCTTATGACAGACATGTATAATATATAATATTTAAATAAAATAAACAAGATTCTATGATCTATATATTGATAGTAATATATCAAAATTGTCTAGGGTTTCATTATATGTCAATAGAATCTATTTTATAGTATATTATTCAATGAATTTTAATTTTCATTTTGCATACGTCAAAAAGTTCATAAATACATATAAAAGATAACATTGAAAGAATAAGATGAACGTACATAATATACATTGTATATCACGAGTTGTGTTCGCCTTAAATAATTTTTAATTAAGTTGAAAAAACTCTCAGATTTAAAAAATAATGAATATAGAAAATAGATATGTAAGTCGCTTCAATTTTCGGATTCACGCAGTATAAATTTTTGGCAAAAAAATCTTGTAACAATCTCGCGTTACAAATCCTGTTCAAATGTTATTTGACGTGTTTGCTTAATATTACTATTATAAAATAACAATGGTTTGAGAATGAATCGAGTAGCTTGGTCAAATTTAATCGTGTCAACACGAACCTTTGCGAAACATTCTTCCCACTTGTTCATATTTACTTAGTGTCTTGAGTTGGAGGAGATTTTTCAAGGGGATTTTCAAAACATTTAGAAGAGAAAGTAAAATAAATTATATAAATTATATATAGATTTCGGCGCGATTATTCCCGGTAGTAAACACTTAAAATGGTAGAAACAATTTAACTTAAATTTTGTAAATATTTGATTAGACTTGAATGTAAGGGTCATTCGCGTTGTTTTCTTTCCATCAAAACTAGTTTCTTAATTGTTAACTAAATTAAAGATATTAAATGAAAGCATTTTTATATATTTAAATATATTTCATTTTAAATTTAATGCGAGTTTAACTAATTTCAAATCAGGAACCAATTATGCATTAATGCTTGGACAAAAAATAACTACTAATAAATAATTATTTTTTGTCCCAGATTAATGACACAAAACCTGATATTTTGTGTTTTGTTTTAGAAACAGATCATGTTGTTCTTTTCGATATTATTTAATTATGTGTTTGTAGGTTTAAAAAACAGCAACATTTATTTTAAGCAAGTTTACACATTCACATTTGGCAATTGAAAACGTGTAACACTTTAAAAACCATGAAAAATTATCAAACCAGAAGCTGATGCTTAAACACGTTTTATCCTACATTTTTTTTACAAATCTTATTTCTTTATTTTCAAAAGGGAGGAGTTTAACATATATACATATGCATGCATATACTTATTATCATAATAATATCTGGACATTTCATGCAATATCTATCGTTTAAAGCAAATATTGACTGCTGCAGATGTCATATCTTAGACACTTGCGAACAGGTCCTGGCACAAAGTTTCGATAAATACTTTTACATTGAACATTTTCACAATTAAAGTAAACACAGAGTGAAAGGATCTCCGTTAAATGAACTTACAAAATACCGGTTAGGTGCGCTAACTATTCTCCGCGGTACAAAGGCTCCCGGAAAAGAAGAAATTTGCCAAATTTTGTGACATTCAGTAAGTGAGTCAAGGAAAGACCTCTCTCTTGTAAAATTCATTGTATGTGAAAGAAACGCGACACCGTTTAAATGCCTCTGGGGACTCGTTTATTGTGCGACTCCAAATCACGAACAACGGGGACTGTTTACTCAAGATTTCTGAATTTGATACCTATTCAAAATGAAATGCTTCAACTAGACTTGTCAAACCTTGTCAAAAATCAACATTTCTACCGAATAAATTTTATGCTTGATATAAGTTAGTGAATATTTTTCATTTTAGAAGAAAACCCATAGATCCGTATTTATTACACACTGTGCAAATGTGTAAAAAAAATGCATACATTTTTACACGTACCGCTCTGCCTTACTAGAAAAAAGAAGGAGAAACACGCAAATGTATGATAAAAGCGTTCATTTTTAATAAATGAGGCATACAGAATGTAATGCTGAACAAAATAGTACGAAAAGCTTAATACACATAGGGCGAAAACCAGTTTTCTCGTCTGCAGATATAACTATCCCAGTGTTCACTGTGAATCTAAGGTCTTTTCAACAGCCCCTGATGGTTGTAAATGATTAAGCATAATGTTTTAATGAAACTTTGAAATGTTTTTAAGTGGTCTAGCTTTTGAGCGGAGCAGTGTAAAGCGACGGTAAATTAACGTAACATTTGTACGAAATTTAATTATTTCATTTGCGAAAACATAAAAACTTGTTATTAGATCAGCATCAGTGTCTATCGTAGAATATTTTGCACCATTCATTCAACCAGTACTTAACCCTTGCCCAGTAAATTGATCTTACACACATCAAACAGCGTTTCTAATTGATTAATCGCCATTCCTCTAATTGTAAACAAGGACCTTTTACGAGAAATTATATGGAATTACGGTTTAATCTGCCAATATCGGGGCTTTTAGTTGAGCCAACGGGTGCATGTACTTCTCATCACTGAATAATATCAAAGAAAAACGTGGCTAAAGAAGACATGATAATTACTGGTCGACCCTTTAATTAGTATTTAATTACTAGGACATGTAGCAAATATTGAAAAGAACAAATAGTTAAATAACAAAATCCAGGCGAAATTCCTTTACGATTGAGAAGATAACTCGTTCATAAGTTCTTAGAAAACGTCTCAGCCTGATGGGTTGAATAACTAATTGGAGAATAGCTCAATATCTATATCGTTGTGTTTGGTTTTTTTTTAGTGCAGAGAGGACTGTTCGATTTATGCGCAAAACAATAGCACTTTATGCGCATGTTGCGTTTAAGTACCGTTATCTATCTACCCTTGTTTTGTCAGAAAATCCCAAAGAGAAATTTCTTTGTAAAAATACCACTAATGTAACAGACTTTGCAAAAGAAATTTGCAATCAAAAAGTTATCATCCATAAAAAGAAAAGTAACTTTATATGGTTACCAAGGTCCAAAAGTGTCCGAGTTTGTATTGTGCTATTTTTAAAGGCCTCAGTCAATTTATTTGACAAGAATCTCGAGCGGTTCTTAAGTTGCTCTTAAATTTCAAGAGCCAATATCGTTTTACATTATTTTTCATAAAAATCAATGGAACGCAGGTCAGTGGGCTGCGCTTGATTGTCACTACTCGACGTTCGAGAACAATTGCACTACCCGGATTGTTCTAATCGAGTACAGTGATGCTGTACGCCGCAACGAGGCTTCACGCGGAGCACCTTTGTTTTGTCTGTCACAGACAGCTGCTAAGCTTCGGTTCTGTGTTTAACAATTTGAATAGTGTAAGAACTAGTGGAGGTGCAAGGCGCTTGGTGTCAGAAAAATGCTCACAGCGGGGCAACTGAAAGTTTGAAACTGTCGAAAGTAAACTTCCGGAGAGGTTATTGATAGCCGTACGTTTGTTTAAAAGGCCGGAGCAAAAGTGTTACACAAATGCGTTCAACAAAATTGCAAAAGAGTTCACCAATTTCTTTAAATGTTTGAATTTTATATTAATTTAAAAACAACAACAGACGACGTACATTTGTTTCTACATTACGTCTCACCTTTAATCAAATGTTTATTGTTATATTAGATTTATAAAGAATAGAATACTTTATTTTCTGAGCATGAGTATAAACTGCGCGTGCCCTTCATGGAATTTTTGCATGTGTATTATAAACTAGTTTCTCCATGTAGGTATAAATATTTAAAAATAATGATCCAGATTGCAAACAGATTGTTTTGGTAGAACGTGCGATCCCTTTGCCCCTGAAGTAACCTGTAATATTGATAGGAACCAAATGCCTCCGACTCTTCTTTTTTATTTTACAGAATAAAAACATCTGTAAAAAATGTTATGTGCATTCTACATCAAGAAACTGAGTTTTGTAGCAATTTTATTTTTAACGACTGTCTGTTTTCCTCTGTTCGAAGCCTTTAGGCTAAACGAATGCCACTAAAATGAATACCACTCGGCTCTTTGTTGTAAAAAAATAAAGCAATGTGTGCTCGAAGCCTTTGCTCTGACATTTGAACGGAACAATTTTTTGTCTGTTCGGGTGGAACAATCAGATACGTTTGCTGATGTATTTACTGGGGGGGGGGGGTAGGGGTTGTGGCAGGAGGAGATAGAATGGGGACATGGTGGTTAGTAGGTTTCGTTTGATATGGGATAATTATACAATTAAGTTTGCCTACCTTCTAACTTATGTTGTATGTAGTCATCTTTACAGAGAAACTTGTTTTCACCAACGATATATAGCTCTTCCCCGGTGGACAGTTGTTTCCGGCAAATCATACATGTGAAACATTTAAGATGGAATACTTTACTTTGTGCCTTTCGTACAAGGTCATTTGGAGAAATGCCTTGAGAGCAACCTGCGCATTTCGTGCCGAATCTCCTGGAAATAATAAAGGTTATGAATTTTTAGTAATTAGACGTTGATATTAGGACTGTACATCCTCATAGACTCGTTAAAATCCGGTATTATTCGCCAAGGTCCGTAAATTATAAAATTCAAGTAAGCATAAATATAACCAGTAGTAGGTCCAAATGAATATCACATACACTAAGTGACAGAGTATACCGAATTAAATACGAATTCTAGATATCATTGAAACCGAAATATATAAATAAATTAAGTGGGGAAAATGTCATTATTATTTTATTAACAATTAAAAAAACAGACTTTGTTTCATTCAAATGATTACAAGTATATATTAATAATAAATGAACAATTTGCCCCCGTATTATTCTCGTTTTCTATACGTTTTATTGTTGTTTCTGTTGTTTTTTGTTGCAACATTCTCTTATCGGTGTCTCCTTTCAGCCAATCTTGCTCTACTTTATTCATTTTAGTTAATGCATTTTACCTTTCATTATAACACTATTGCTGCATTTGTGTTTTGTTGTTTTATACACATCACACAACATGAAATCATTATCAATTAATGAGTTATACAATAATTATATCACTTCTTTATTTTCATGAAAATAAATCAATGAATTGTATGTATAATCATGAATATTTCACATAATTCTGCAGACTATATATGTTAAATAATCAATCACTCTCTTACAGATAAATCCATCTAAATTTAAAATTATTACTACAATTATTATAAGAAATGTTATATTACATATCTACCAAAAAAAATAATAATATGAAAATCATGAAAAAGTAGCATATTGACAAAAAGTAACGGCTAAAGGTATTTACTTTATCAATAAGGTACATGTATAATTATGTTGAATTTTAATGTATAATATATAGTTTATGTATCACTGAAAATATCCCTCAAACATGGTTGACGTTTCAAAGTTCCTTTTGTATATTTGAACTTAATATCAGCATGCAGAAAAGGATAAATAATAGAGGAATGTGTATCTTTTTAACTTTTTTTAAATAAAAAAGAAGCAAAATATTTAAATTGTACATGTATATCGCATTTATGGTTAACTTGAAAGGAGATATTTAAGATTTTGAATTTTGAAAAAGAAAAATGAGGAAAATAATTCACGTTTCAACTGCAAAAATATTACAAAAAGAATCATATACATGTTGTCTGCATGTGAAAACCTTAGAAAGAAAACATGAAAACTCGAAATATCTCAGTATAAATATGTAAATAAAACATGCAAAAAAAGTCCAAATTAAATTTTAAAAACAGTGTCTACAGAGGAAAAAAATAACTAGACTTATAAGTTATATTGATATGTAATAAATCTTCTTTTTTTCCCCTTTTTTCCGGTGGACATTTTTTTTGCAGTAACCTAATGACCAAGTGCCCTAAAGCCATTAAGTTTTCATTAAGATAACAGATAGGCAACTTTATACTATATCTTTATTATCTCTATATATTGAATAATTTAATTAACAAAAATACAATAAATACGTTTGATATGGACTGAAAGTTGTTTTAATATGATGTATAATTATTCTATATAAAGAGTTCAATAATGCTTATGTAAATATATATGTTTTTTGTTGTGTTAATCAGAAATTTATTGATACAAATAGCTTTTATTTTTTATTGTAGGTAAAATTGAAAGAAAAGATCAAAGAAAAGATCTGTTTGTTGTATATATATAAATATTATACATAAGTGTATGTAATTCGTATATAACATTTGATGAAAATGATAATTTTAGCTGAATATTATATGTTAGCAAATGATTCATTAATTCAAAATATCATTAACATGCACCGAGCTTATATTGCTAATAAAATTTTGCTTTTGATTTTTTACTTAGATATGTTTTAAACGCATACGAATAGTTGGCGTATTAATAACGCGTTAGCTTATAAAAATATTTAGGGAAAATTTTGATTAAAGCGAAAACTCCTATTAAAATTGCATACAACTTAAAGACATTTCTTGATTCAATTATAATGTCATTTTCGTACCGTTCATGCCCTACAAAATTATAGAATATTTCCTTGAGGCATTTCTAATGTAAAGCTAAACGCTTATAATAATAAGTTGAGAATTTCAAACGTCTATGTCATTTAAACAAGACAATGGAAGTTTTCTTTTTAACATTTTAAGACTTTGTTCTTGTTTTCACATATTTTTTTTTATTTTTTATTTTACATCATTCTTTTGCTTCATTACCTGAAAAAGTCGGTGCGACAGTAAAGCTTCCCTTCCCGTGAGAAACACTTATCACTAAGAGCACACCCGCAGTCCGCACATTGCACGCAGCGAACGTGCCAGGCTCTGTCAAGAACGTTCAACAAATATCGGTCCACTATTGGGCACTGACACCCGGCACACAGCTGCATTGTAGATATTACGTTTTGGATCGCCACTTTGACTGTTTCAAAACGTCTGTGACGTTAGGAAATAATGTAACTTATTCTCTTTCAAAAAAAAAAAAAAACACCGGATGATCACTACGTTAGATAACGGTTGACGTTACTGTATACCACCACATTTTATAAACATGTCTTTGATCTGATTTCAAATTATGAATAAAATGTATTTGACACGTACAAATGTAAAATCCCTGTTTAACTTCACAATTTTTCTCTGGTTAAATTGTTATTTTCCCAGTTAGTTTCTTAAAGTAATCCAAACAATTTTCTCCTTCGTACACGTTATGAAAGTTGTCTCTTCGAATGTGTTCGGTATTTCATAAAAACTCAAGCTGTCCACTCACTTTCGCAGGTTAAAATTCACTTTTTATAAATGCTTTTTCTTTCTGGGACAGCCATACAACATTTGCTCAATATCGTATCAGTGTGAACTATAGAAACCCCTGGCAAGTTATTCTTTTTCTCGTAACGCCGCCCAGTAACACCCATCTGTCATTTTTATGAGCGCGAGGCGTTGCGCAGTGAAACGAACGCGTCCAATGAAAAAAGTCCGGCAGTAAAATAGTTCAAATAGGATATCGTCTGCTGAGAGATCTATACATTCATGGTTTTTGATAAATCGGTTTTGAATACGGAAGAATATCAAGTGATAAAGCTATTAATTCACTTAAATAAGCATCATTTATAATGTTTAGAAGACGTGTAATACTACCTTGATATGGACGTCGCATATTCATATTTTTGTTTCTGGTTTATAGTGGACACACTGGCTAGAATTGTACTTATTGTGTATAAAATGATAAATTGAAACTAAAAAGCATAGGGCCTTGATATTAAAAAAATCATTAAAATGCAAAAAAGGGGGAAATAGATAGAGACAAATTTACTTTGTTTAAAAATGATGGCTTTGTGTTAACAGCGGCGTGCGTTAAGTTAAAATCTTAATGATAACTTACGAGCGTATAAGTAAAAAGGTGAAAACCAAATCCGACTGTGCGAAACAACTCATTTCATTTCTCAATAATATTAACCTAATAAAAAGCGACGAAGTAAAATAAAACATATATATATACAAAAGTTATTCTTTTTTATTTAATAAACGATTCATCGTGAAAAAAATCGCACTGGAAAAGTCATTTTCATTTTGTCTAAAATAAAACAAGATAGAGATTCAAACAAAAGAAATCATTGAATTTAATTCCTGTTCTTTGAGTTATCTTATTTTATTAAGTATCTTTTAAAATTGCTCTTAAATGTACAGTCGTTTTCATATTATTTACATTATATTTAGAAGCTAAGTTTTTAATTTGAAATATTATATCTGTAGAAATGCTTATTATATTTCATTTGATTTTTTTTCCGACGAGCCTTGAACCTGAATCTATAGCTATTTACTGTATCATTTAATATAAATTAAAACTAGGGCGATATTTTACCCAATAATTCTTATAATTATTTGTTCTTTAAATATGATCTTATCTATACTAAAGATTAAAAGAGAACACAGCCGATAAGATTAGGGAAAAAATGAAACGGTATTTTAATAAAGCGATTTAATTATCCATTAATATACTATCATCTATTCATAACCGAATAATTGAGATTTCACGCTAAATAAAACTTGATCTTATCCCGTCAGTATCAACACATAACTTCACGACGATCTCATAGATAAAGATGTCACTATTTAGGTGTAAAAGTGCCCCAAAACCGTGTCACTCTCAGCCCAAAGCGCCACGGGTGCAAATCTTCGCGCTATCACTTGTAAATCTTTCATTCGACTCCACCTTAAATGTGTAAAACAAATAATTATATTCGTTGTATGTAACTGTAGAACTGGAAAATTTGTCGTCGTAGACAGCTCAACCACTACAGTAGGGAGAGAAGAAAACATTTCATAATATACTTCATATGCAATGACTTTCCCAACCTCCCCGTCCCTCCCCACCCAAACCTTCTCAAACAAGAGTGATAAATATAATACTTAAAACGTAAAGTTTCCTTTTTTATTTTTACATATTGACTGGACATTTTTATATAAAAAATATTATAACATTTTTTTAAAATCACAATTCAAATACATAATTTTTGTCTCAAAATGTTGAATCATATCGATTGTGAAAAAAATAGTAATAGCTACTGACTCATTTCGATGGAATTTTAAAATTATATAAAATTGAAATTATTTTAATTCAAGACATAAAATACATTTAATATATAAATGAAATAAAGTTTGTATTTCAATTTTATTTAATGGAAATTTCATGTTTTGTGCACATTATTTACCACCAATTTCAACAAAGGAAGACCTGATATAAATTAAGTCGTAACGGACAATTCAAATTATAATTAAATTGTACTTACAGATATTCCATGTATTGAAAGAAACAAGAGGTTGTGGATATTGGCAAATCTAAGGTGCCATTTGACGTTTGCTTTCTATAATGTATAATCATAGGACATGGTCTTTCAAATATAAATGAGCCGTGTCATGACAAACCAACATAGTGCGTTTGCGACCAGCATGGATCCAGACCAGCCTGCGCATCCGCGCAGTCTGATCAGGATCCATGCTGTTCGCTATCAGTTTCTCTATTTGTAATAGGGTTGGTAAGCGAACAGCATGGATCCTGATCAGACTGCGCGGATGCGCAGGCTGGTCTGGATTCATGCTGATCGCAAACCCATTATGTTGGTTTTGTCGTGACACGGCTCAAATTCATGTGAAAGCTCCTGAAAAACCTAAAGCGAATCTTTTCAAACGAAATATTAAATAGTGAACATGGCTCTGGTCGGGCAGTATCGCAGCAACAACAACAACAACAAAAAAATCAATCACAACTGTTTTGGACTGTTTTCTTTAATCAAATGAAACAAAATCCATGAGAGTTCGAGGGGTGGGAGTGGGAATGAGTCTCTATGTCTAGGTCTATATTTCTGTGTTCATGTATAATATTTCAATATTTTTATGACACTGCTATGATGGTAGCGTCCGTTATAGTTAAGTTTTCAGTAATATAACAACTGAACATCACCCGCATTTTGTTCTTATTTTTGTTGTTATTTGTGTGTTGAGATGTCTGTCAAATAAAATACCATAGAGATCAAATGGAATTTTAATCCTAAGAAACACTCATAAAAATGTATGTCAATCATTATTTATTGTTGTAATCATCACTTTCCAGTTAACATTATCACGTGACAACTTTATCATGTGACATTTGTAGATTTTGGTGATAAAGTCAGTATTTATCGAGATGTTTTTTTCGTACAGTCTAGCACCATAAATGTCCCTAGGGGACGTTACTATGCATGACATTTTTTAAAAATCTTAAATATATTTCTTTTTTTCAACTTTTTTTTAAAGTTAACTTCAATATTTTAGGGAATGCAAAGTAACACATATATGTCCACTTTTTTAAAATTGTATTTAGGTAGGTAGGTAAAATATAAAATAAGATCCCACTACACATTTTTAAAAAGCTGAAATGTATGTGTTAGTTTAGTTCCTCCCTGACCATTCAAATTCACATTGAATCCTCAGTATGACTCTGATTTACAAGAAAAAAATTCTGGGTTTCATTGTTACCTCAGGATGTTTTGCTCTTCCTTGCTCGTGCTTGGTTGTATCAAAATTGCACGCTCATTTTTTGTTGCATTTTAAGGGTTAGTGAACAGACATTCGACAAAACGTTTGTCCTTCCAGACGAGGACAAAGACAGGGTTTTTTTTTCAACATTGAAATATTTAGGATATGTGACAAATTCTCAATCCGTGTGTCAAAGTAAATATTTCGGTAGCACAGTAAAAGACTCTAATCCGTTTTAAAGGATATTGTTCAAATAATCCGTCTATTCTATAATAATATTGAAGTTACCATTAGACGGGAGTTAACACAGTGGTGACAATCTTACAGACAATCCGTAACAAGTGCCTCGATATTTGAACAAAGCAATTTCGACTACGTTTCAACAGGTTCTATTCTTTTCCTTTTTTATTTCTCTCTACTTTATAGCTTTTTAAACAATAAAAAAATCTATGGCACTTAGAGGAAAGCCGTGACGAATACAGTAATTTAAAAGAAAAAAAAAGAAAGAAAAAAAACAAGCTTTGTGTATATTTAATATATTAGGTACCAGTGTTTGAAATATAGGATTATATTCTAGGATCTCTTTTATCATGAACTAACGCTAAACAGGGGCCACAACTCATTACCAATTTCCATATATGACACTATAATATTGGTCAGTTTCAGTAAGCGAATCCGAGAGCACTTTAAACTAGCTTCTTACTCCAGTGAGCTAAAATAAATATTTTAAACTAACTTAACATGTTCGATTATGATACAAAGTGCTAACTGTAACAAAACAAAAATACGTATAAATTAGTGATATTATTATAAATCCCTGCTGCGTATCTCTCATATTATCTCTTATATTATTTAAAATTAAAATTGTCTAAAATCGATTTGTTTTGTTGTTATTTTTCTGTATTCTATTGTTTATAAACATATCAAGAATTGGGCTAAATGGGTAAAATCGATATTAGTAAGTCATTACAACCCTTGTTTTAATATTTATGATCACAGAAAATTCTTAAAACAACCCCAGCGAATCAAAGCAGAAAATCTCATAAATAACTTAAAACTTTTTGAATAACCGGACTTGTAACGGATTTGAACTGCAGACAAATAAAAATATCGAGGTGGCGAACTCAAAACAATTGTTACAATGAAGAAAAACATAAAACACGCCGACAAAGACAAGATCCGCAATAATTTGTGAGAAATGAAAACATTGCTGAGAGTCTATGCAAACGATACCTGACAAAAGACGCAAGTGGTCAGTGTAAAGTATACTGAATAAATATTTTCAAATCATATTTACAAATCTCATCGATTTGTTTGAAAATTTATACTTTGTGTCTCTTTGCTAGATGGTCTGTTTATTCTAATACTTAGCACCGTTCTCAACAGCTTGTGGTCAAATGTTTCCTGTGCTGTGCGTTTGAAGTTTAAAACTACGTGTGAGGAGCGTAAATTCGCCCCCACCTCCTTACGTCAGCGTTTGTCAACGAACCACGAAATATATTCACTGTATTATCAAAATAAGACTAAATATTACCCAACCTTATCATAAAGTTATTAAAATTGAGAGAAATCTTGTTTCTGAAGTGTTCGGACAGCATGTTTCAAAATAAGAACATCCGAAGCTTGCTTGGGTGCTTCACTGTCAAACTATTTAAAAACTTTTCAAACTACTGGTATATTTTAAGTTTTAAGATGTTTCTTACGACTTTTTTTCTGTCAAACTGAACCAATCCTGAACTAGCCTTGAGTTTGGAATAATTTTGCGCGGAAGGCATTTTGAAAATCCTTAAATGACGTGAGAAGCGGGTACTGAAAACGATTTGTTATGTTGCAACATTATTAAAAGTCAATGGGATTCAATGGTACAAAGTATCAGTAAACTTTGTAAATAGAGTTGACACCGATCCTTCCATTCACTGACCGTAAAAGAGAAAACATTTGTTATATTTTTAGGCGTAATGCGTTAACTTTTTAATCGAAACCATGAATGGAGTGAAAGCGATAGTGCAAATTTTCACACGTCCGTTAAAATCACTCCTTAGATATTTTGAAAAAGATGTTTTCACCTTAGGATCTTGCAAAACACAAAGGTGTTACCGC